CATGGTCCATCGTGGTCTAACACCATTTAACACGGTGATTGAGGTCGGACATGACAGTACATCGTGGTCTAACACCATTTAACACGATTATTGAGGTCGTACATCACGGTCCATCGTGGTATAACGTCATTTAACACCGTTATTGTGGTCGGACATCATGGTCTAACACCATTTAACACGGTTATTGAGGTCTTACATCACGGTACATCGTGGTCTAACATCATTTAACACTGTTATTGAGGTCGGACAAGTCAGTACATCATGGTCTAACATCATACTTATTGAGATGTTCATTAAATATTTTTTTGTATTATATGTTAGTTGTAAAAAAATTCAAATATGTGTGTAATGAATACATGATAGCAATGTCGTTATTTTTGTTATTATTGAATGTTGAACTAGGTCATCTTTTCAAAAAATCTTTTTTCGTCACATTTCGATCACGTTTTCATTGGATATATTTCTGTGATTTTCATTGTTGTAGTTGAAAATCGACTTAGCTATGCATTTAATTTCATATGAAAAATGTATTTTTTTTACTGTCAAATCATTCAGTTTAACAAGATACGAAGTGTCCAAAGTGTTTTAAGAGAAGTGCGAAAAGTGTTAAGTTTGAAAAATGCCTTTAAAAAAGAAATCATTTATTGGAAAAAATACATTGAAGGCCATAAAATCAAAAACAAACAGAGCCAACGAAACGCCATACAATCACGTACATCGTTTAGTATCAAAACGTTTTCAAACGCGTAATTCAAGAGCAAATGAAACTGTTTATAATCGTGAAGTTCGCCTAGAAGCTGATAGATTAAGAAAAAGTAATTCAAGAGCAAATGAAACTGTTTATAATCGTGAAGTTCGCCTAGAAGCTGATAGATTAAGAAGAAGTGAATTAAGAGCAGTCGAAACATTATCTCAACGTAACGTGCGTCTTGTAGCAAACAGTTTACGAAATCACCATTCAAGAGCAACTGAAACATCTGTTCAACGTGAAGTTCGCCTACAATTAAACCGCGAGAGAGCAGTAGCATCCAGGAAATCTGTTTGGAAAAATTTGAACAATGAAGCATTCAAATATGACAAACAGATTGATTATAGGTTTGTGTTTGCTATTTTTTGTCGTATATGTTCGCCGTAGTAATCTATTTTGATAAATCAAATATGTGTTATTGTGTTTTCATACATTAAGCTCGCATCCAAATGTTTCAATTGGAAAAATGGATAGTCTCTGTTTGAACTGTCATGCACTTAAATTTCATAAAGAATCACCCGGAATGTGTTGTTCAAATGGAAAAGTTGTGTTGCCAGCATTGAATGATCCACCTGAACCACTTCGAACGTTTGTATCGGGTACTGATCCATTATCAAGACACTTCCAACAAAACATTCGGAAGTACAATTCATGCTTTCAAATGACATCGTTCGGGGCATCAAAAATTGAAAATTTCAATGGATTCATGCCCACATTCAAAGTTCAAGGACAAGTGTACCATACAATCGGTTCACTTTTGCCTGTACCCGAAGAAGATTCAAAATTTCTTCAGATTTATTTCATGGGTGATAATGAAAAGCAGATTGATCAACGTTGTGCTATTATTCAAGGAATGAAACGTGAAATTGTTGCAAATTTACAAGTATTATTCCATGAGCACAACCATTTGATTCAGTCGTTCAAAGTGGCAATGGAACAAATGCCTTTAAATGAAAGCAAAGTCATGATAAGAGCAGATAAAGTGCCACATGGAGAGCATGAACGACGATACAACGCCCCAACGATTGACGAAGTTGCAATAGTTATAGTTGGAACTGAGTTTGAAAAGCGAGATATTGTTATTCAAAAACGAGATTCAGGCTTACAACGCGTGGCTGAAACACACCGATGGTACGATGCACTTCAATATCCATTGTTATTCTGGCAAGGAGAAGATGGATACCACTTTCAAATGAAGCGAATTAATCCCAGCACAGAAAAGCCAACTGGAAAAAAGGTACTCAATTGGTGTAAAGTAATGACAAAGTTAAATTTAATTCATTATTCTATAGATTACATGTATGGATTTTTATGCATATCGTATGATGTTGAGAGCCAATCAATCAACTCACATCTTACAGTGTCGACAGCTTTTCAACCAATTCATCGTTGATATGTTCGCCAAGATGGAAAGTGAACGTTTGCTGTTCATCCGCTTAAATCAAAAACAGCTTCGGGTGGAAAGTTATATTCATTTGAGGGATGCCGTAGCAAAAGATGGAAATGTAGCCGATATTGGACAAACCGTTATTCTTCCATCTTCGTTTATGGGAAGTCCAAGACATATGCATGAATATGCTCAAGATGGGCTGACATATGTTCGAAAAGAAGGTACGCCAGATTTATTCATTACATTTACTTGCAACCCGAAATGGAAAGAAATCGAAGAGCTACTTCTACCGGGACAAAATCCATCTGATCGACACGATATAATAGCTCGAGTTTTCAAACAAAAGCTAATAAAATTCATGGATGTCATCATTAAAAGCCAAATTTTCGGAGAAGTGAAATGCTGGATGTATTCGATTGAGTGGCAAAAAAGAGGTCTTCCGCATGCTCATATATTGATTTGGTTGAAAAACAAAATAACTCCAATTCAAATTGACAATGTGATTTCCGCTGAGCTACCAAATCCACAGGAAGATCCCGTTCTATTTGAAATTGTGAGAAAAAATATGATTCACGGACCATGTGGGCGATGGAATCCGAACTCACCTTGCATGAAGGATGGAAAGTGTACCAAAAAGTATCCACGTGAACTGATACAAGAGACACAAACAGGTTCTGATGGATATCCAATGTACAGACGTCGTAAACCAGATGATGGAGGCCATGCATGCGTTATCAAAGTGAAAAATATTGACGTCACTGTTGATAATAGGTGGATTGTACCATACAATCCCCTATTATCGAAAATGTTCAATGCACATATCAATGTTGAATACTGCAATTCAGTAAAATCCATCAAATACATATTGAAGTATGTCCATAAGGGCAGTGATATGGCAGTTTTTGGACTTTCCAACGGAAACGCAAATGACGAAATATCTCAATATCAAATGGGACGTTACATTAGCAGTAATGAAGCAGTCTGGCGAATTCTTGGTTTTAATATTCACGAACGATATCCATCTGTTATGCATCTATCCGTTCACCTGGAAAATGGTCAACGTGTATATTTTACCGAAGAAAATGCACAAGAACGAGCCACAAATCCGAAAAACACCACATTAACAGCATTTTTCCAACTTTGCCGGAGTGACGCATTTGCGAAAACATTGTTGTATTCTGAAGTGGCCAAATACTATACTTGGGATGATAAAAAAAATGAATTTTTCAGAAGAAAACAAGGTACGTAAATGTTTTTGTCAACCACTAATTGTGAGATAATAATTAAAAAAGAATAAATCTTCTTTAAGGTTCTCGAAATCCCGAATACGCTGGAATTTTCGCAAGTAGTGCATTGGGTAGAGTGTATACCATTCATCCAAACAATGCTGAATGCTATTTCCTAAGAATGCTTTTACATACAGTGAAGGGACCAACATCATTTGAGGATTTAAGAACTGTGAATGGAGAGCTATGTCAAACAAACAGAGAAGCTTGCCTTAAACTTGGTCTACTGGAAAATGATGATCATTGGGATAAGGCATTGGAAGAAGCAACACTCACATCGCATCCACGCCAGATACGTAATTTATTTGCAATCATCATAACAACCTGCGCACCGTCTGATCCAAAAGGTTTATGGGATAAGCATAAAGAGAGTCTCAGTGAGGACATTCTACGAAAAACCCGTATCCTGCATCCTAATATAGATGTTCAATTTTCGGATGAAATTTTCAACGAGGCACTCATCTTATTGGAGGAAAAATGCATTTCGATCAATAATAAAACTCTATTTCAATTGGGATTACCAGCACCAATGTGTAACCGATCAAATTTGACGAATAGAGATCTCATGCGTGAAAAACAATACAACGTATATGAGCAACGAGAATACGTTGAGAACCATGAGAAATTATTGAATGAAGATCAAAGACGAGCTTATGAAATGGTGATGCAAAAAATTGCAAAGGATAACGGCGGAATCATTTTCCTTGATGCTCCAGGAGGCACAGGCAAAACATTCCTATTGAACTTGATTCTGGCAAAAGTTCGATCAGAGGAAGACATAGCGGTCGCTGTTGCATCATCAGGAATAGGTAAACCATTATTTGTCTATACTAATGAAATCTTACGTTTATGTAAATTATAATATCTATGCTATTTTTCAAATCATATAGCGTCAACATTGCTCAATGGTGGAAGAACAGCACATTCAACATTTAAATTGCCATTAAATTATAATCAAAATGAGACACCCACGTGTAACATTGGTAAAAATTCAGGTATGAATATAGAATTACAATCATGCGAAACAATTTAAACAATAAATGATTTACTCTTACAGGCATGGCAAAAGTTTTACAAATGTGTAAAATAATTGTTTGGGATGAATGTTCAATGGCACATAAAAGGTCGTTCGAAGCGTTAGATCGTACTCTACGTGACTTGAAGGGGAACGATCATCCAATGGGAAAAATAATCGTATTACTAGCAGGCGATTTTCGACAAATATTGCCTGTTATTCCACGGTCAACGCCTGCAGATGAAATAAATGCCTGCCTAAAATCATCATACCTGTGGCAGCATGTAGAAAAAATGCAACTAGAAACAAACATGCGTATACACTTAAACAACGATTCATCGGCAAAAGTATTCTCAAAACAACTGTTGAATATAGGCAATGGAAAGCATCCAACTGACCCAAATACGAATGAAATATCGTTTCCAGCGAATTTTTGTCGAATGCAGTCTTCTCTTCAAGAAATGATCAATAGTGTTTATCCTAATATTTCAAATAACTACAAAAATCATGATTGGTTATATGAACGCGCCATATTAGCACCGAAAAATGATGACGTAAATCAAATAAATCATCAAATACTGCAGCGAATTCCAGATTCAACAGCAAAATTCAAATCCATTGACACAGTTACGAACGAATGTGAAAGTGTTAATTATCCAATTGAATTTTTGAATTCGTTGGAACCAATAGGAATGCCACCACATGTATTATCATTGAAGACTGGTGCAACTTTAATGATCATAAGAAATTTGGATCCACCAAAACTGTGCAATGGAACTAGAGTTGCAATCAAAAGTTTGACACAGAATTTAATTGTAGCAACGATAATGAATGGAAAACACAAAGGAGAAGATGTGCTTATACCCAGAATTCCAATTATATCTACGGAGTCACCTATTGAATTCAAACGTTTACAATTTCCAGTACGACTGGCCTTCGCTATGACAATAAACAAAGCACAGGGCCAAACACTAAAAATTGCAGGATTAAATTTAAGAAATCCATGTTTTGCGCATGGTCAACTATATGTTGGATGTGCACGGGTTGGCGCACCTGATAATTTGGTTGTTTATGCGCCAAACAAAAAAACCAAAAACATTGTATATAAAAAAGTATTAGAATAAAATCTCCAAAAACTAAATTTCAATATCAACATCTCATGTTTTCATTTACATATCACAATCTATACGTACATTGCTATTGCTGAGTTGGAAAAGTTCGTCTTACTACCGTTAAGAAAAAAGAATAAGGTTACGAGCGAGCGAAGCGAGCGAGTAACCGTCCAATTTGAAAGAAACAGTTTTTTTCAATATATTATTTGCATGAGGTAGCTGCTACGAGCGCGCGAAGCGCGCGAGTAGTTGCTAGTTTCTTATAATAAAGTGCATTAAATTATGTTACTTTTTATTTTACAGTGACTTAAATTACGTTAAATTTTCTAAATCTTATTTACAAAAAATAGCAAAAGCAAATAATAATCAGCAAAATATACAATACAAGCTAAAAAAAGTCAAAGCAAATATCAAAAATACGGTATGAAAATGTTAATAAGAAAAAAATGCTTCAGTTTGGCGACATTAAAGCCTGCTTGAAAAGAAAAATTAGTTTCGGTGGAAATTTTAAGGACTTACATAATATGTGCGTACATATCAATCACAAGTTAATTTGACTAGAAAATCAATATAAAAGCAAGGCATGCAAAACAACTTTGGAACTAAAATGGCGAGCAGAATGTATATCAAAACTGATCCATATAATATATTTTATAAGCGTTAAAGATTAATTTGGCCAAGAACACAATCAAGTCGAAAAGGTCGCTATGTTTTATATTTACAAAATTGAATCACAGGTGTCCTTAGAGCATTTGCTCTTTCTAACATCTCTGCCAAAACAATAATGCATTGGATCGAAGAACCGAACATCGCCCTCTTGCTCCTTCCTTTCTATGTACCCACATTGTACAAAGGAATGGCGAACGAAGTCTTTGAAAATGGGTGCGCTCATTTGAATGTGGGTAGAAGCTATGAGCCTCAAGACATTATCACGGAGATGAACGCTTACACCGGGGCAATTGTGACGCGCCTTTTCCGAAAGAGCTTTATGAAAACTCTTATATGAACGGAAAATTCCTACATCGCAGGGCTGGACCTGTCCTGTTGTATGAGGTGGAATTACTTCTAGCTGACATTCGATATTATCCGGTTTGACTTGATCAAAGTATTCTTGGTCTCTATATGTTGGGAGAGAGTCAACCAGAAGTAAACATTTTGCGCCGCATTTACGGTAAAAAATGTCACGATACCAGTCTCTAATAAGTGGTTTGGTAACTGCACCATTTTTCGAGGCTACAATATAGAGAACAGGATGTTTAAACATTGTCTCTACAACGCGTACACCGAATTCACCGCCTGATTAAGGCAAAACAACGAAAAGGGGAGAAATTGAACGGCCATCGGCCGAAAATGTAGGTTGAATAGTGTACGAGTGCGTAGCCGAATTAGCCTGTTCGTATGCCACCTCGATTTGTTGCGTGCCCTTTACTTCGTGCGTGCGACCGGAATAAAGTTCGATTTGAAACCCGGATTGATCAGTATTGTAGACATGTTGTTCGCCATAATGTAAAACAAGTGCCCTAATTCTATTTACAAAATCAACAGCTGACTCTCTTACCTGGGGAGCTTCTGCGACGTTTCTGACCGAGACCACGCGTGTTGCTTTACGGCTAACGATGCGATGCAATTTCTTCCACTTTTGCGCCCAATTAACAAATAGATAAATTGATAATTGATTAGTAATCGTTACAATATACACTGCAGGTCATTTCAAAATGTCATTTTGAAATTTCAAATAATAGCCAATTTCAAAAAAAAAAACTTGGGTAAATAATAATGAATAACATTTACCGTTTGATTCTTCTCCATTGCCCAATCCTTAAGAATGGAATCATTGACTGGCAGGCGCTTGGCTCGAGCGTCATCGAATTTTTCCTTCACGTATTGATTTATCTGCTTCCATTTTTCCCGTTTAAGTGCTGAAATACATTGACAGATCGTATTGTATAAATAATGAGAAAGAAATGATGGGAATGTAAAGTTTTAAAAATAGGATGGAATAGATATTACTGTGATCGAGCCGACGTTTCCACTTGTATAATACATTCTGATTCGTTAGTTTTTTGTATTTTTGCTGCACGTGATTAAAGCTGTGCTTGTGTCCATCATTCCACCAGTACTCGACGATTGCTCTCCGCTTTTCCACTGGGTAGATTTCATGTCCATGGTCCTCCTCATCCGATACTTCATAGTCCTTTTTGGCCACATCTTCAGTTTCGTCTTCATCGTCACTTTCATCATCTGAACCTAAAATATAATCCAAAGTTTCGAAAGAGTGGTCAATTTGGTTCGGATGTACAATTTTGCCGGCAGAAGAAAAAATTGGCATATGGTTTTCGAATTCCATATTTTTATCTGGGTCCGCTTCCGTTTGTCGAGACTTCACAATAACTTCCACCAATTGGTCAGCCAAAACATCTTCATCCCCCACCTCTTCTGGTGGCACGCCTCTCTCCTCTGACTTCTGTTTGAACGCGCTCAACAATCGGTCGTAGTTTGCCATTTCCAAAACGATAGCTAAAAATCGAACAACAACAAAATGAATGGGTAGGCAAATTCCAGTCGAAGTCAAATTTCAAAACATCGATTACACTACAAAAATGTACAAGTTGTGTAAAATTATCTACAACAGTTAACGTGAATATGTAATCTACAAAATGTAATATGTTTCACATGCGAAGCTACACTTAATTTGAAGTAGCGACATTAATATCGATACAACCAATATTTATTTGGCTGTTTGGCTTTGAAAAAAATTAAAAAACCAAAAGTCGGAAAAACTTCAGCCCAAATGTATTCATAACATTGTATAAAAATGAACGAAATATGCTCAATTCAAATTAATCATCAGATTTGAAAATTCTCGATCAGATTATCTCTGAATCAAAAGTCAAAAAACCGCAAAAAGTCAATTTACGGAAAAAAAATACCCTAATATAAGCGCGCGCGTATGACGCATCATATGAAATTAATATATGTTTACATTTTGCTATATGGAACAAAAAAAATGAAATTTTGAAATTGAATTAATATTTCACTTTCACGATTAAATGTTATTTAAAATATATCAATAAATATGACAAAGCCCTTTTTGCAACAAAAATATCAAAAGAAAAAAAATTGTTTGAAAAAGTTCGATTTCATGACTGTCCATTTGTATGACAAAAGGGCATCATTCGATTTCAACTTTTCGTACACAAATTTTTTTCCGTTAGTATTTTTGTTGGTCAAACGGCTTTGTTACATTTACTGTCACACTTTAAACAACATTCAATCATAAAAGTGCGTAAAACAATTCAATTTTAAAATTTCACATTAAATGTGTAAATATACAGTCACAGTCAGTATAGGCCAAATTGAACAAAAAAAAAATTCCAATTAAATTTTAAAAATTGACTGTTTAATTCACTTTCATGATCGAATGTTATTTAAAATGTGCAATTGAATGTAACAAATCCGCTTGAGATACCAAAATACGAGAGGAAAAAAAAATGTGTGTCTCAAAAATCGAATTTGGTGATTCCTCATATATACAATGAAATCGCCAGTCGATTGTAATTCATTAATACATTTTAAAAATCATACAGTCCCAAAAGTAAACAAAATCATTCGATTTCAAAATTTCATGCACGATGGAACTTTACACTACATTAGAAAAAATGTACACAAAGTAAAGCTAACACACATTCACTTCGAATGCACAATAAAAAAATATATATTTTGATGAAAACATAAAATGTCTTACATCCGTAAGATGAACTTTTCCGCACTGTGATCCACGACATGAAAGAAAACTAAATCTGACATTAGTTTTAGATAAAAATAATTTTCGAAGCACTTTTCTTACAAAAACTACTAAAGATGGGAGTTTTTGTATCGGAGCCATGCCTATACGATATCGTAATCATGTGAAAATTTGCAGAGGTTATTTTTTTCACAAAATGGGTACTTCCCATACAAAATTTCGTTTTAGAGCGAAAAATCCAAAATATTGTTCGGGAGGTGCCCCTAATATTCGTTGAAATGTCTTCAAACTCTCGGAATAGTATTTATGTGTGATAAAAATAACCAGTGCAAAGTTTCAGCTCATTACGATATCATACAGGCATGGCTTCCATACAAAAATCCAAATTTTTTGAATTTTTTGTATGAAAAGTGTTTCGAAAGTTGATTGTATCGCAAAACTAAGGTCATATTCGGTTTTCTCGTACCCAAAAACCCCCCAATACACATTTTTGAGTGTTTAAGAATACATTAAATATCACTTTTGAAAGAAAATTTGAATTTTTCCCATGGATGGACATGGGCATCACACCAGACATGACACTTTACCCTGTCAACCAAAGTCGCTCAAAATCTAATGGTTTCTATTCCTCGGCACCCCCAATCATCCTGTGAAGTCAGATTTTGAATTACTTTTCTTGTTTGAAAGTTATCGTGTTAACAAATTTTTGCGTACAGGGTACAGCGTACAGGGTACAGGGTACAGGGTACAGGGTACAGGGTACAGGGTACAGGGTACAGGGTACGCACATACATTCGGACATCGAAAAAACGCTAGATTCGTGTTCCCTGGCCCCAAAAACACCCAGAAAACACATTTTTTATGGGTGTTAATTTTTCGACCGATTCCAATACTTTACCTTACACACTAGGTGTGTGCGGAAAAGTAATAACAAACACTATTTTTGACGCGCAATTTCACACAAAATGAATAAAAATCATTTTAAATCAAACAAAAAAATCATTTAAAATAAAAAAAATATAAAGAGTAACAGAGAACAACGCTTACCTTTTAAAAAAACACACGAATAACAACACAGTAAATGTCACTTAACGCGCGCTGTCAGATTTGTCATAGTGGCGCGTTCACAATAACAGATGACAGTGTGTATTGTTTGATTGTTGATTTACACTATGAACTGCGCGCGCTTCATTTTTTGATGTATTTATTTGCGCATAATTTTTTTGTATTGAATAATACAACAATTCTAATTGCATCAATATCAATT